TGGCCCTGCCTCCCTCTCCAGCCCTTGAAGCAGCCGTGGCCGCTGCTGATCAGGCCCTCCCCCAGTGCAGGCGCGCAGAGGCCCCTGCCGACACGCCCCCAACGCTGAGTGCGTAACCTCCTCCTATCTGGTTGACCCATTATGGTGTCATGGTTAATTAGCATACTTCTCTACTATAGATAGATAGATAGATAGATAGATAGATAGATAGATGATAGATTGATTGATTGATTGATTTCTTTCACCAGTTAGGGGAATTTTTCTGTCACTATTTTTTCAAATAGGTTTTCAATTTCTTGCTCCCTCTCTTCTCCTTCCGTCATCCCCGTGATGCGAAGGTTGGTATGCTTGAAGTTGTCCCAGAGGCTCCTTACACTATCTTCATATTTCTATATATTTTCAAAATATATAGTTTATTGATTTTAGAGAGGGAAAGAGAGGAATAGAGAGATAGAAACATCAATGAAAGAGACATCAATCGTCTGTCTCCTGCACGCCCCATACTGGACTTGAGCCTGCAACTCAGGCATGTGCCATCACTGGGAACTGACTGGGGACTTCTTGGTTCATAGGTCAACACTCAACCACTGAGCCACACCAGCTGGACTATCTTCGTATTTTTGGATTCTTTTTTTCTTTTAGTTGTTCTGATTTGGTATTTTTGCTTCCTCATATTCCAAATCACTGATTTGATTCTTGGCATCCTCTACTGTACTGTTGATTCCCTGTAAATTATTCTTCATTTCAGTTAGTGTATCCTTAATTTCTGACTGGTCCTTTTTTGTCATTGATGTTTTTACTAAGTTCCTTGAAGTTCTCACTAAGTTCCTTAAAAGTATTCCCTAAGTTCCTTTAAATTCTCATTAAGTTCCTTGAGCATCCTTATAACCATTATTTTAAACTCTGTATCTAGTAGTTTGCTTCCTTCTACTTCATTTAGTTCATTGTCTTGAGATTTCTTCTGTTCTTTCATTTGCAACGTTTCCTTGTCTCTGCATTTTGGCTGCTTACCTGTGTTTGTTTCTATGTATTAGGTAGAACTACTATGTCTCTTGGAATTGGTAGAGTAGTCTCCTGTAGTAGGTGTCCTGTAGGGCCCAGTGGCTCAGCCTCCCCAGTCATCTGAGCTGGGCATTCTGGCTGTGCCCCTATGTGGGCTGTGTGCACTGTCTTGTTGTAGTTGAACTTTGATTGCTGTTGGTGTTACTGGGAGGAATTGACTCCCAGGCGAATCAGCTGTGAGGACCAGCTGCAACTACAGTGGGAGAACTACTATGCAGGAGATGCCCCTGTAGAGCAAGACATGCTTCAGTGGGGCTTTGGTGCTCACCAAGTCCACCCTTTGAGTGTGTCACTGGTGGATGTAGTCAAGTTGTAATCTGGCATGGTCTGAAGCTGACCATTAGGTGCACTGGTTCTGGGGCCTCCCAGGGGGTACAATGTCAGCCACTGCCTGTGCTCTGCCTGAGGCCACCTGGCATGAGCTACAGAGTGACCTGCAGATGGCTGCTACTTATGTTGGGCTTGGAGGTGTCCAGGAGAGGCCAAGCTATGAACCTTTGCAGGCTATTGCTACTGCAGGGCCACTTATTGAGAGGTATGGAAGTTGAGGCCAGCTGCTGCTTGTTTGAGAGATTTTAGGAAAGTCTGAAGCCTAAGCCAGGACAGTCATATGGGAAACCCACTGCAAACAGCTTGGGTAGGGCTGCAAATTGGTGGAGCAGGGTCTCAGGGTATCACCAGGGAGGTAGGGTGAATAGTGTGGACCAGGTTGGTGGAAGCTCAGATATGGCTCCTGTCTGTTGGTTCTGTGGTGGGGGACGGCTCTGATGAGGAACAATGACCTCTGTCAGCACTTTTGTCTGAGAGAAAGCTGGCCTCCACCTCTGGCCCTTCTACCAGTCTCAATGTGGCTTCTTTAATTCTCTAGTTATAGGGCTTCCATTCAGCCAGATTTCAGGTGATTCTGAATGATGGTTATTCTGTGGCTTAGCTGTAATTTTGATATCTAAAATTACACTTAAGTTTAAATAAATATTCATAAAAATGTCTTGGATAATATAAACCACTATGTGTATTCCTCATACTTGTTTGCCTTTCTTCAAATTTA